AGTTGACTGTAACCTGAAAACGAAGAGCCTTCAGCCTCTCCTTACTATAAAACTCACCATTATCCTCCAACCCTTATCAAAACAAGAACCAGAAGAACCTGAACGTTGGGAACAAAGAGCAGAAGGCAAGAGCCAGCTTCTGTGCTTCCAAATATATTCAACGCTGCACTTACCTGATTGTGCCAATGTGCAAGGACCAAATGTACTGCTGTGTGTGTGTGTCTTATCCTGTGGCAATTTACCCTCTGTCCTGTTTCTTCTTCACATTGCTGCTTCCCTCCTGAGGGAATTACCCTTTTCCCAGAGCCTTGCCCTAGGCCCAACTCTCCTCAGATTCTTGTATAACAGTGTGAGCAAGCATTTCCTGCCTTAACCCCTTTGGAACTTCCTCTACAATCCCAGGCTTTGCTCTAAGTTGCACTTTAAAATCATTCTGTCCTGTTAATTCAGAATGGCACCTTTCTCCAACAAGCCCTATGTTCTGGAGGAACAACTCCCACTCTCAACCCTAAGTGGTTGTTTAGATCCCAGCCTGAATCTCTCACCTGGAATCCTTTTTCAGGATATAGCTTTACTAGCAGCCGTGACTGATGAGAAATGGGTTTCCTGTCTGTACCAGCTAGAGACTTGGAATGTCAGAAGGGTAACAGGTGCATAGATTCTAAGTAGGATGGGAGATTTCAGGTGGCCAAAACAGCCAATGGGGAAGGATATCCAGAGTGAGAAAAATGAGAAAGATGAGGCCAAGGGACCTAGTAACATGAAACCCAGAGTCTTACTTAGGACTGACACACAAGAGGTGGGTGGAAACTTGGGAGATTGGGATATGATATATATGTTTCTCTAAGGAGAAAAAGAGATAATATATAGAAAGATATGTATATAGATGTATGCATACCCAAATGTATGGAATGTACAGAAAGAAGGTATTCAGACTTTTAACAAAGGGACAAATACTTTGCCTTGGTTTGGGGGAGTAGGATAACTGGATCTTCTGTGCTGTGGTCAGCAGAACAGTGAGAGTAGCTCATGGTTGTACGTTTGATGGAAAAGGGAGGGCTAGAACCTGCCCTTTTCATCAACAAAGGAGCATCCATCAAGGTTTGATGAACTGTGCTGATAGGACAAGAGAAAAGCTGGGAGGAAATATGTCACAGGAACGCCCCATCCACGGAGAGCTAGGAAAATCTACCAGTCACACTATGTGCTACCTATCCCTGGCAACAGCCTGCCATCGAACAACTTCTAAAAGCAGCAAGCAAGGAAGCAAGGGAGACGCATCCTTCCATTTTCCTCTCTTCTTCCACCAGGGTGGGAGCTGTAGGTCTAGGCCCCATCATTAAAAATTGAGAAGCTGAGATTTTAGTGTTTGGAAGGCATTACCTCTAGAATGCAAACGCCGGCACTAATGAGCTGTTGAGCTCAAGATACTCTCAAGGCAGAGGCCCAAGCTTATGTACAAAATTCTTAAAGCGAGTACTTCATGTGTCATAGTCTCAGCCCTGGCGTGGAGGCAGGTGGAATTCTGTGGTTACAAGGCTCTCTGATGAAAATGCAGACTGCAGCTTTCCTCTTCCCCAGGGGCTGATGCAGTTCTATGCAAGGCTTCTGAAATCCCTACACTGGGCTTCACTTAATTCCGGCTGCCTCCCACTTCCAGAAACCCACACCAGCTAGCATGACTATGCAGGGCTTTCCCTGAGGTCAGCAGAAAAAGAAAAATAGTCATGATGTTGCTATTAGCTAGGGACATTGCACGTTCTCCAAGGCTTGCTACCACAAACCTTTACCCCTGCTAGCTAACCTAGTCGTTGCAAAATAACACATTTCCTATGCTATGCCGTTAGCTGGGCTTCCAGGCCCAGTGTTGGCCAGTGCTACTGAAGCCGAAGTTCTAGGGATGATTTTTCTACACACTACATTAAGGACTAAACCAGGTCAAATGTATTTAGAAAATGTGTGAGGTATTTTTGGTTTATATTTGTCTGTTCAGAACAAACTACTAAATAAACTGGATGAATCTCTTGTTCTCACCGTGTCTTCTTTTAGAAATGGAAACTTATCTTGTTATCAAGGTTTGAACTCACAGGCTGAGTCTGGGGAGAGGAGGGTTCCCTTAGGCTCTGTTGGGAGAACATCCTGTGGCCAGCCTTTCCTGCTGACTTTCTCTTGCACTCAAACATTTTAGTAACGGTTTCACCCAATCCTTCACCAACCTTTTCTTGTTCCTTCTCTTGTTAAGGCGAGATTCCTTGACAAATACATTCAAATTCAGTTTTTACATTTTTGGAAAGTTTTTAATTTATTTATGTTTTTTTTTTTTTCGAGACAGAGTTTCGGTGTAGTCCTGGGTGTCCTAGAACTCACAGAGATCTGCCTGCCTCTGCCTTCCAAGTGCTGGGATTAAAGATGTGTGCCACAATTTAAAAACTTATATTTATTTGTGTGTGTATGTGCTCATGCAAGGGTTTGTTGGCATCAGAAAACAACTTTCAGGAGTCAGCTCCCTCCCTCCACCTTGTGAAGTCAGGAGACCCAAACTCAGGTTGTCAGGTTGGCAGTAAGCACTTTTACCCACTGAGCCACCTCTAAGGCTTGCAAATTCAGTTCTTAAACAGCAAGATTTAATAAATATTAAGACTCAGGACTCTGAAAACTGGATTAGCTAATTCCAGGAGTCAAATTGCTCTGGACTGGACACTGTCCCATTTGGACAGTGATTCTTTTTTAGTTCATTTTTCCTTTCACACTATAGGAAACACTCTTTGGATGGTTTTCTTTACACATCCTTAAGGCTCTGGAAGTCTATTTTAATCAGCGGGCATTTATATCCCTAGACCTCAGAGTAATACACTGCTCATGTATTCTTACCTACCATTACCCTGAGAAAGTTGTGGTACTTTCTCAAATACTCTGGCAAGAAACAACAGGTTATAATCATTGACTCTTGGTCCTTAAGATGAAAGGACAAAGGGAAGAGGGAAGTATTGGGTCCCTAATCATTAATAAATCGACATTTAGAAAACACTACATGTGAGTCACCTGACCTCAAATCTGTAGTTCTTACACACAGAAATAAGTGGTATATAATACGTATAACCAAGGGTGAAGCATTTAGCACATTCTAGTACAAAATAGAGAATTAACATATTCTAAAAAAAATCTGTGGGAAACATTTCACAGGTTTGGACCCTAAGGCAGGAAATGGTATCTATTCAAGAGTTCTGCCATTTTCTGCAGCTCACTCATATGACTCCAGGGTTCATTTGATTAGTAGTTTCTTTTCCTTCCCAAATTAGTGTCTCTCCTACTTATTAGGCCAGCCATGGAGGGAGCGTTAGCTGAGGGTTTTCTTCCAGAATACCAAACAAACCAAACAAACAAACCAAACAAACCTTACTTTATATTCAGACATCTCTCTCATATTCTCTACAGAAACTAAGCTTCACTTACCTACAACTCACAAAGAAAAATATCAAACCAGGGATATAAAGAGTAACAATGAGAGAGAATATCAGAAAGACTTAAAGAAGAGATTGAGAAAAAGAAACAGAAATTAGAATTCCATATCAACATTTTATTTGTTCATCATACAATCATTATGTTATCCTGGGCTAGACAGGCCTACTTTGAATTCCAGTTCTGCTACTAGTTGGCTATGTGTCTTATTTACTCTCCACAAATCCAGATTTTGCTCATCAATAAAGATAGGAATATCCACTTTACATTAAAAAGTAGTTAGTATGTCTGACAATTGGGAATAAGTCCTTAACAAACAACTATTATGAATCAAAATAATTTAGGCCATATATACCATGATAATAACACATTACCATTCAAATAACTCTTGACAGGTTCAACTTGTAATATCAAGCCAGACAGTCTGTGTCAGTTATCATGTGTCTGAGACTGTAATACAAAAAAGTACAAAGAAATACAGATATATTTTCTACTCTCAAGAACCCTACAATTTAGTTGTAAGGTTATTTGAATGGTAATGTGTTATCACGGTATATATGGCCAATGCATAGTAAAAAATGAATAGAGGTAGTTATTAAGCTACACCATATAATTATATCAAAGCATAGAAATACCAGACTATGACTATAAGGTTCCTATGGCTCATTCAAAGGATAAATGTGAAGTGTAGGATGAGAGATGTCTAGGCTGAATGGAGCCACTTCTACAGTAATCTAGAAGACATTCCCTAGGAGCAGGTTCAGTTTGTAAGATCAAGGCAGTCTGTCAGTTACCATGTGTTTGAGACTGTAATACAAGAAAGTACAAAGAAATAAAGATATACTTTCTATTCTCACGAACAATTTAGTTGAAACTGAAAACATTGTAAAATAAAGTATTAAGGTTTTAAAAGTCGATTATAAGTGCAGTTAAGAAACCAGAAAAAGAATGAAAGAGTTTGTGGAGTCTTTGGCAAGAAACTAATAGTGGTAGGGTTGAACGGGATGGGTGAAGGGCTGATTTTGACCTACTTGAAGAGTGCTTGAAAAGAACGGAGTTGACAGTACTCCAGGGATAACAGTCTAGACTTATTTTGGCAGGAACCTTCCTATCAGGGTAAAAACACGAGAACTATTTTATCTTAGGCTTATTCTTTCCATCTATATTTTCCACTCTCAGTCCTCCAAGCCAGTTCTGTGGGATGTAGCAGCAGATCGCAGCTCACTGTATCAAGTGTCCTCCTCAGTTGACCCGTTGGGAACGCGGAAGCAGTGGTTACTAAAAACAAAGTTCACCCAGTTCCAAGACATCTCAGCCACTCCGGGATTTCCGGACAGCGGAAGCGTCGCTAATGAGGAACCGGAAATCCCGCCTCCGCCGGAGGTGCGGACGCTAGACAGCCAATCCCAAGGAAGGCAATAGTTCCGCGGAGCCAGCTGAGAGCCCCCGCAAGGCCGTAGGCCGGAAGTACCGTGGGGGCGGGACTTCGTGCCGGAAGTGATCATTCCTCGGTTATTACTGTCGGCGCTCTAGCGGGGGAGATGTTCCAGGCGGCCGAGGGGAGTGAGCCGGAGGACGGTTAGAGAGAGGGGCGCAGTGTGGACCCGGGGCCGGGCGGGTGGGCCCGCCCGCCCGCACTCAGACCATGAGCTACACCAGGCACTGGGGGGAATGGATCCTGAACTTTCGGGTGCCGCCCGCAGGCGTGTTCGGCGTGGCCTTCCTGGCCCGGGTCGCCCTGGTTTTCTACGGTGTCTTCCAGGACCGGACTCTGCTCGTGAGGTACACCGACATAGACTACCACGTGTTCACGGACGCCGCGCGTTTCGTCACGGAAGGGCGCTCCCCTTACCTGAGGGCGACGTATCGCTACACCCCGCTCCTGAGTTGGCTCCTCACTCCCAACATCTACCTCAGCGAACTCTTTGGCAAGTTTCTCTTCATCAGCTGCGATCTCCTCACCGCCTTCCTCTTATACCGCCTGCTGCTGCTCAAGGGGCTGGGGCGCCGCCAGGCCTGCGGCTACTGCGTCTTCTGGCTGCTTAACCCCTTACCCATGGCGGTGTCCAGCCGAGGCAACGCAGACTCCATCGTCGCCTCCTTGGTGCTTGCGACCCTGTACTTAATAGAGAAGCGACTCATCGCGTGTGCCGCGGTGTTCTATGGCTTCGCGGTGCACATGAAGATGTACCCGGTGACCTACATCCTCCCCATAGCGCTCCATTTGCGGCCCGAGCGCGACGATGACGAGAGTCTTCGGCAAGCCCGGTACTCTTTCCAGGCTCGTTTGTACGACTTCCTGAAGAGGCTGTGTAGCTGGGCTGTGCTGCTTTTCGTAGCAGTTGCAGGACTCACGTTTTTTGCCCTGAGCTTCGGTTTTTACTATAAATACGGTTGGGAGTTTTTGGAGCACACCTACCTTTATCACCTGACTAGGAGGGATATCCGCCATAACTTTTCTCCATACTTCTATATGTTGTATTTGACTGCAGAGAGCAAGTGGAGTTTTACGCTGGGGATCGCTGCTTTCCTGCCACAGTTCATCCTGCTTTCAGCCGCGTCTTTTGCCTATTACAGAGACCTTGTCTTCTGTTGCTTTCTTCATACGTCCATTTTTGTGACTTTTAACAAAGTCTGCACCTCTCAGTACTTTCTTTGGTACCTCTGCCTTCTGCCTCTGGTGATGCCACTAGTGAGGATGCCTTGGAAAAGAGCTGTAGTCCTCTTAATGTTCTGGTTCATAGGACAGGCCTTATGGCTGGCTCCTGCATATGTTCTAGAGTTTCAAGGAAAGAACACCTTCCTGTTTATTTGGTTAGCTGGTTTGTTCTTTCTTCTCATCAACTGTTCCATACTGATTGAGATTATTTCCCATTACAAGGAGGACCGCCTAACTGAGAGAATGAAATATGACTAATGTGTTCTGGATCTTCTGTAACATTCTGGTTATTCCCTATGGACTAGAAAAGAGTTGGAATTTTTCCTCCCCGAACATTCTAAGCACTCTAGTGAGAGCTCCCTTGTTCCAATAGAAATTAAAACCAGTGTTGGCCTTATATGTAAAGGGGGCCCAATAACTGAGGTCCATCCTTTAGAAGTCTTAGGACTCATTTGTTTGATGAGAAGTAAGTCTTTCTTGTTTGACATTTGAAAATCTGATGAAGCTAGAAGATGCTGAAATATTTTTGAACAGTAGAGGAATAGACATAATGCCTCTAGCAGTGTTTGTTCCTGTCACACTGTGCCACTCTTGTACCTTAAGCCCCTGCCTTTTTTTTTCCCCCTGCAGTTCTGACAGCTGTGGAAATTTACAAAGTTCCTAAAGTACATATAAAGTACTTTATTTTTACATATAAAGTATTAACAATTCCATGCTCAGTTGGGAAAGTTAAAATTTTTTCTATTAAATGTGGGGGCTTAGAAGATAACTAATCCAAAGAATTTAAATTGTGATCATGTATTTGTTTTGTAATTTAGTTTTTCAGCATTAGTACCAGTGGTATTCATTTTATACAACAAGATTAAATTTAAACTCATCCATCTTTAGACCTGAGTTTTTAAAAAAAAAATCATACATGTATATGTATATAACATGTATATGCTTATCCTTTTTCTACTTGCTAGAAAGACTTTTCATCTAGAGTTTAAGCTGAGTATTGTCTGTTGTAACAGTAGTAGAATTTAGATGATAAAGCCTAAGTTTTGAACATATTTCATTTGCTCTATTCTGGTTTTATCATCTAAATTGTTACAGTAGAGAGCATTGTTGGTAAGGCATAAATCCTACACTCTGAAAATTCCATGATAGGAAGGTTTTTGAGGGAGACTCCTGTAAAGCCCACGTGGTGTCATTGTTTGGACTCACTGGTCTAAATCAAGAGGTTGTAAGGGATTTGAGGATTTACAGAAATGAGGCTGTGGTGGGCAGGTCCTTTTTCTTATCACTAGAAGTAAATACAGTGATAGGGAAATACTTTCTCAGCTGTATGAATAAACGTTCTAAAGTATTTTTAGAAATCATACAGCCTGTCTGTGTTGAGGGCCTTCTAACATTCAAAGATGTAGTGGAAATAGAGGAGTATAATTTTGTGGTCATGATTTATTTTTTTTCAGAATCAGCTCCTAAAAAAAAATAATTGTTTCTCCAGAAAAGTAGTATTTTTTTTTTCCTGTCAAGGCGAGCCTAAAAATCCTTTGAGAATATAATATTTATAGGTTTGTCATAATTAAAAATTCTATTAGTGGCAGCATTTCTTTGCTGGATTCCTTTAGGGATTGGCTTAGAGTAACAGGTGGCATTTCTGTTGCTTACTGTGTCTAAGAAAAGTGGTCAATTGTAAAAAACAATGACCTTTCCTAAAATGTCAAGATCCAGATTTCTTATTAGCTCATAACAGTACACTGCTTAAGACAGTTTAAGTAGTGGCTTTCCAATTATGGCATATGAACCTTTTAAAATTATTATGGGGATTGAAACCCCCATTCTAGGCAAGTAGTCTGCCACTGTGCAATGTATCCAGCCCCAAGTGAATTTTTGAAATGAAAATTTGAGCAAGGAAAGTATATTCATGTGTTTGTATAGGCCTGACTTTTGTTGTTGTTTTTAGACAGTCTTAGTACAGGCTGGCCTCAAACTTTATTTGTTTGCCCAAGATAAACTTGAATTCCTGATTTTCATACCTCTACTTCCTAAGAGCTGAGATTACAGCCCTGTGACACTGTGCCTGGCTCAGAAATTCTTTATCAAAGAAATGCAAGTGTTTCTAAAGGGATGCTGTTAATCTGCTGCAAACCTTTATTTTTTTATTTGCTTTATGTGTGTAGGTCTTTTGCATGTACGTCTGTGTACCATGTGCATTCCTAGTGCCCAAGGTAGCCAGAGAGGTCATTGGATTTCCTAGAACAGATGGTTTTGAGCCACCATGTGAGTGGGTGCTAGGAATCCAACCTGAGAGTCTTCTGGAAGAGCAGCTAGTGCTCTTAACCATTGAGCCAACTCTCCAGCCCTATGCTGCAAAAACATTTAGTAAGTTAAGTGGAGAAATGACTTGATCTTTTGGTTTTTACTTCTATCTTTCAGCTTTTTAAAGTTTTATTTGGGGAAGAAGCACACATATGTCCTGTGTATGGAGGTCAGATGTACTCTGGACAGCAGAGGAGAACATGTGATAGTCGATTTTCCTCATTCCATTATGCTGGCCCTGGAGTCAAACTTGGGTTGTCAGTCTTGGCTGCTGGACCTTTTTACACTGCACTGTCTGGTCACTTTGGCTTCTTTCCATTTATGATATCTTTTTTTTCCTTATAAGTCCTTAAAGAATACTTTAAAATTGTGTAGCTCTTTGAACTTATTTTCTGTGTAATTCTCTTGTTCGTATACTGCCTGCATTATCTTTATGTCACTGTAGCAAATGTCTATCATAAGTTAACTTATAAAGAGAAAAGGTTTATTTGGACCATGGATTTAGAAGTTTCACTTTTTGAGATTGGTTGGCCTTGTGGCCTCAGGCCTATGATGAGGTACACATTGTAGCGTGAGGACATGATAAAACAGACTTTACCTCAGTTCAGGTGCAGAAGATAGAGTACCAGACTTGAGCCTCTCAGCTCCTTTTGAGGGCACACCCCTAATGCCTTAAAACCTCACACTGGGTTGGCCTAAAGTTTCCACAGCTTCCCAATAGTGCCACAGGCAAGGAAGCAAGCTTTTAACATCTGGGCCTTTGTGGGGAGAGTTCAAATCCATACCATAGCATCAGCTGTGTAAGACAGACCGATTTACAGGCAAGCGTTAATTACTAGATTAAGAATTTTTCTCCAGATAGGTTGCAGTTTTTTTCTGTAACTGCTTTTCTGATGTCTCCAAAATGTCCTTAAAAGCTCAAGTTAAGTTCCCTGGATTAGGGTCATTATTGTCTGCTTTGTTTTTTAGTTGGAAGAGATAGGGTCTTGTATAGCTCAGGTGATCTCAAACTTGTTATGTAGCAGGCTGGGCTTGAACTCATCCTCTTGAGTCTACCTCCCACATACTAATTAACAGGTGTGCTGGACCACGCCTAGTTTGGATTAGATCCTTTGGAAAAGCTGTGATAATTATCCACTACTGGGCAACTCAGCAAAAGACTTCTTAAAACCGTACATCTGTTACCGACACCTCACTCACCATCTGGATTTTATAAGTTGTATAATGATGTTTCATAAGTTGTATAAAACTTGTTCTTTAATTTATGGCTGAATATATTGTTATTTTTTTAACATCAGCTGTTATTTTATATTACTACCTATACTCTTGCCATCTGTGCTGTGAGTTAGGAGTAGAAAAGAAAAATATGGAAAATTTTACCTGTGGTGGTCTTTAAATGCAGTCTCTTGTCATTTCTCTCACGCATTATTATTATTTGTGTGTGTGTGTGTGTGTGTGTGTGTGTGTGTGTGTATGTATGCAAGTGTCTATCAGTCTTGAGGATTGTCCCCAAGCACCATCCACTTTTGTTTTTTTGTTTTTTTCTGAGCTGGCCAGATTGGCTTCGTTGACTGGTCAGCAAGCCCTAAGGATCTGCCTGTCTTTGCACTGATATTTTAAGTATATGTCTCAGTACCTGGCTTTTGTTTTTTCTTTAAACATTAGCCATATAACCATTACTTTTCCCAGTCTAAACAGAATTGGCAACCAAGTAACCTTCCCCTTCACCAGAGTTGAACACATAACTTTTGTGGACAATTCTATCTCCCTCCTAAGAAAACAAAGTTATCATCTTTGTGTTTTATAGCAAACGTCAAGATGAGAGGAAATATCCATATTCATCCTTTCCTCAGTGACAATAATTGCTTAACTGATTTTGTATCATGATGATGGTTTTTCATTGTTAATCAATTTATTTACTCTGCCACAAATTAATTTTTATGACAACACTTCAGATTTGGTGTTTGGACTTAGTTTTATAGATAAACTAAGTGGTTTAAAAATTAAATGGCTTCCTGATAAAAGACAGGCAAAACTAGAATTTTAAGTGACTTTTCCTGACTAAAATAACATGCCCTTTTCACTGTTTTAGAGTCTTTTTTCTAGAGTGCCCAGCTCCTGCAGATGATTTCTGCAAAACAAATGGGACTCAGCACTTAACTCTGACAGTCAGTTTGACCTTCCTGATGTGTATTATTGTAAGGGACTTAACTCTGGCAGATGTCCTGACAGTCAGTTTGACCTTCCTGATGTGTATTATTGTAAGGGGCAGTTCTTCAGTTCTACCAAGTTTCTCTGTGTGTGTTTGATGCCCTCAGGGGCCAAAAGAAGATGTTGGCTCCTCTGGGAATGGGATTACAAATGTAAGGTACTGGGAACTGAACCCAAGCCTTCTGGAAGACCAGCAAGGGCTCTTAATTCCTAGCTAATTTCTATTGTTCTTAAACATTTCTCAGCGACTTCTAGATATTTAATATATTCAAATCCTGTTGTAGCTGGTCTTTGCTACTTTGTGGGTTTTTTTACCCACCCTTTATCCTCCTGGTTTCACTCTCATAGATAGATAGGAGAGGAAGGAGAGAGTGTGTGAGATTCCTGAATCTAAGTCTTCTTTCTTCAAGCACTACTACTAACGAACCACAACCAACCCTCCTCTGGGGCCCTAGCATTTATACACCCTCTGAAAAGAGCCCAGAATTCTAAATATCACACAATCTCAGGAACTATCTGCAGCTGACAAAACCATGTCTCTTCACGAGGCAAATCATAATCAGCTGCTGGAGTCAGTCAGACGCGGCTCCATACCCTTAACACCTGGGATTAAAACAAACACATGCTTAGACTGTTTCTGTATTTAAAGAATCCCAAATTGTCACTACATCCTCTCATACCTAGGTGTGTTATAGCTTTGTTACTGTCCTTTCCCTCCATTCATCCAGCCTAAGAAGTCAAATCAGTGAATTAGATCTGGTCTTACCTAATTGTAAATCAAGCTACAGGTAGTGTGTGATCATAATTCCCAAAGTTGATTCAATTTCTTTTGTGGCTGAATAAAATTCCAGTGTGTGTATGTATCGCATTTTCTTTATTCATTGGCTCCACTTTTTAAATCATTGTAAATTATGCAGCAATAAACAAAAAACAAGGATCTCTGTAGAAGAACTTAAAAGCCCTAGTTTGACTTTGGACCTGGGAATGTATAGTTGGTTCCTTCTGTAGCTGTATTTCTGTTTGAGACACCAGCATCCTGATTCCCCTAGCAGCTGCCCCAGTTTACTGTCACAACAGTTTACAACCTCACCTGCGTTAATTTTCTTGACAAGCCATTCTGACCCGGGTGAAGACGAATCACATTATACATTGCTATGCTGTTGTATAATGAACATCCATGTGTGTTCTAGGCTGATTAAGGCCGTAAAAGCATGGGTCTAAACCTAAAGAACAAGATTTCCACAGCTACATACACTGTTTTCCATCTGTAAAATGGGGATGAAAATATAATTAGAAAATTACAAAGTGGCACATGCCTTTAGTCCCAACACTTGGGAGGCAGAGGCAGAAGATCTCTGAGTTCAAGGCCAGCTTGGTCTACATAGTAAGCTCCAGACCCTATCTTGAAAAAAAAAAAAACAGAGTTAAATTAATATGCCCAACATTCTTATGTTGGCACAGAATAAGCTACTCAATATTGGAGGCAAATAGGTGAAGAAAAACAAAAACACTCAAACATGGTCAATAAATGGGCTAATGAACTGAACAGCAGTTCTCAAAAGGAGAAGCAAACCGACAGTAAACACTGAAATACAAGTTAAAAGTGCTCTTGAGGCTTGTCCTCACCCTGGTCAGAACGGCTTAAGTCAAAACAACGCAGGCCAGGATGCAGACTGCTGGGACAGTAAACTGCGGCAGCTACTGTGGGCATCAGGATGCTGCTGTCTCAAACAGAAATACAGCTACCGGAGGAAGCAGCTATCCCACTCCTAGGTCTAACATCTAATTCTACAGAGAGATGGTTTTATTTCTATTTATTGCTGCACAATTTACGGTGATCTAAAAAGCGGAACCAGAGAATAAAGGAGGTGAAGCATACACACCAGAGTTTTATTCAGCCATGAGAGTTATGACATTTCCAAAGCAAAGGATTGAATTGCAATTATATATTATGTATATGTGTGTGGACACACACAAACATACACTAGATGGTGGAATGAGAGGGGGGATTATTCTAGAGTTCCAAAGGAGATCCAGACTTAAAGACAGGGTTTCTCTGTGTAGCCCTGGCCATCCTGGAATCAGCTCTGTAGACCAAGCTGGCCTTGAACTGAAGACATCCACCTGCCTCTGTCTCCCAAGTGCTGGGATTAAAGGCGTGCACCACCACTGCCTGGCACTAATCAGTGGAGGTTTGGCTTGTGCCCCCAATCTACATAGCACTTCTTTCTCCACTGTATTGTATTGAGGGGGGGCCACCATTCAAAGGTAGGTGCTCTGTAGGTGGAAGCACACATCTCCTGCCTGGGTCAGAAGCATTACAATAGCATGAGCACGTTGTATTCAGCACTGCTCCAGCAGAACCATTCATTCAGTCAAAACGCATTCATATTCATTATCGTGAATAAAACCCAGACTAAATGGCAATGTTTCTAGCTGCGCAGACACGCTGCTAATTGCAATGTCTGCTATCTGAAGTGAAATGACACTTACAGTGACTATTTAAAATAATTTGGAGCATGAATATTTGAAGTTCAGTTCATTTTACAAAGGAAAAATTTTAACCTCCTTTGCTCTCCATTCTTTTGGCAGTTATTTATAGATCCTTGCCATGCGTCAAATATAGTAATAGAGTCAAATAAAGGTTCTGCTTTTGAAGAATTACCAGTAACATTAGAAACATACTCTGCCAGTTAAACCTTATGTGAGACCCCATTAACTTCCATAAAAATACTTTGGTTTTTAAGATGAGGGTGGAGAGTGTTTCTATGTTCATTTTACAGATTAAAAACATTCTACTCAGAAACAAGTGACTTTCCAGAATTGAAGAGCTGGCTACTTCACTGGATCCTGGCACCTCTGACCCCACTTCTTTATTTTCTAACTATTTTGCAAGTTTCTCTTACTGCTATGTGAAAATGGCTGATTTCCTAGGGAAATTTCATTTATGTAGAATGGACTAAACTTTTGAACTGTAAACCAGTCTCGGTTAAATATTTTCCTTTATAAGGGTTGTCGTAGTCATGGTGTCTCTTCACAGCAATGAAACCCTAACTGAGACAAAGGTCATGTTTAGTTTTGAAAGGTATGTTTAATCACTCACTGATTTTTTTCAATTTTAATTTTACATCCCAACCAAACTTTCCCCTCCCTCCTCCCAGTCTCTTCCTCCCAATGCCTCCTCCCACCTCATCCACTCCTCCTCTGATACCCCAGAGACCCCATGATAGAACCAAACACAAATGGAAAAAAAGTCAACGAAATGATTTTTAATGATATTCTGCTATATTCGTAGATTGCTGTCTAGCTCAGTTGTCTTCAGAAAGGCTTTATGTAGGCTTAGATTTATCAAAACCTACTTTATTAAGGGTTCTTAAACAATTCAACGTCCCTTCAGCAGAGGTAGTAGAAAAGAAAAGTTAATAGGAAATGGAGGGTGTGGATCTGATCAGTTCTTTGGGGAGCAATTCCAATCCTCTAGCAGAATACCAACATGAATCAGCAGCTGCAGTCCAGGCCACTCAGCAATCACCATTCATGAATTAGTAACGGCAGTTTGATCCAGAAGAAACTGAGAGGCTCTGCCAATTGGCCCAAGTCCAAAGAAATGTCAAGAAGCCTCTGGAATATCACGAGAAGTTCTTTGGTGAGTTACTTTCTACAAGGTCAACTACTTTCTACGAGGTAATGACAAGCAAGTATCAGTAACACGCTGCAAGGTGAGCCAATGCCAGAGCCTCCTCCCGCTGTCTGTGGGGTCATATTTATGTTCTTTCTAAACATCACGTGCACTCTCACATGTCTGCTTTAGCAAAACATCTTCTCAACTGTGTCTGCTTCAGCAAAACATTTTTTCACTTCCTTGCCCCAGCAAAACATCATATGACATAACTGAGTTTCCAAAGAAACCAGAAATTTCCACTTCAGCGTTACCCAGCAACTGAAACAGATACAGAGACCCATAGCTAAACATTAGGCAGAACTTGGGAAGTCCTGCAGAAGATGGGGAGGAAGGACTGTAGGAGCCAGAGGGGTCAAGGACACCTCAAGAAACCCACAGAATCAACTAACCTGGGCTCATAGGGGCAGACAGAGACTGAGCTGATGACCAATGGGACTGACGTAGGCACTTCATATGTTTGAAATTTCAAATGTCATTCATTTGACCCCTTGTTCCTCAGGACCTACACACTCAAAAGAGAACTGCTTGAGAAAGCTGTCCTCTGACCTCCACATATGCACTGTGGCATATATGCCCCCCCCAAATAAATGAATCAGTAAATTACTAAAAATATGTATGCTTTGTCCAAGGTCCAAGATACTACGTTTAGTAGGACTGGAACCCATATCTTCTGGGACTTGCATCACTCCTACCTCTGGTAAACATTTTGCTATGATAAACAGAAAATGATGTACTGGGCTTTAGAAGTCTGGAAGTGTAGGGGAAAAATTAGTTCAATGATCGTTCATTCATATCGTGGATAGTACTAGGTATCAGCTTTGGTTACTTAGTCAGATAGGTTCTGGGAATAAAGACAATGAAAATAACAGTTCTCCCTTCAAGGAATTCATAGTCTGATACAGGCAACTGATGGGAAAGTGATTGTAACGTACAATTCAATGGCTGAAATAAATGTACACATAATTAATCCACCTTTGGTCTGGATAAAGCTGGTGTAGAACCTGGCATAGATAGGTACTAAGCTGTTATCTGCTTTCCTTTAATACTGGATAAATAGCAGTGATTTTAAAAACTTGAGTGCTTAAAATCAGTCTCCTAGCAGTGCCTGAACCGGCCATCTCCTGTAACCAGGTAAGACTTGTAGTGGAGGGATTGAGACAGCAACACAGCCGTACAACCTTTGACCTACAATTATTCCTGTCTACCAGATGTGCTGGGGTAAAAGTGGTGCAGAAAGTGGCCAGCTAATGACCGGTCCAGCTTGAGACCCATGCGATGAGAGGGAGCCACCCCTGACACTGCCCAGAGGACCAGGAGCCAGAGACTCGATAGCTCAGAGACCCACCATAGAACCAAACAGGAATGGAAAAAAAAGTCAGTGAAATGATTCCTGATGCTATTCTGCTATACACATAGATTGATGTCTAGCCCACTTGTCATCAGAAAGGTTTCACCCAGAAACTTATGGAAACAGATGCAGAGACCTACAGCTAAACATCTGGCAGAGCTTGGGGAATCCTATGGAGGGAGTGTGGATTGTAGGAGCCAGAGTGGGTCAAGGAAAACATACATACACACACACATACACACACACACACATACACACACACACACACACACACACACACACACACACAGAATCAATTAACCTAGGCCCATAGGGGCCCACAGAGATGGAGCCACCAACCAGAGATCCTATATGGGGTGGACCTAGACCCTTCATACACGTTACAGTTGTGTAGCTTGGTCTTCTTGTGGGACTCCTAGCAGCAGGAGCTGTCTCCGACTCTGTTGCCTGCCTTTAGGACCCTTCCCCCTTTTGGGTTGTCCTGTCGAGCCTTAATAGAAGAGGAGGTGCCAAGTTTTACTGCAATTTGATATGCCATGGCTGCTTGATATCCATCCAGGCTAGCTCTTCTCTGAAGAATGAGTGGATGGGGCAGGAAGGGGGATGTTGGGAGTAGGTCCTAGGAGGAGAGGACAGAGGGGAAACTGTGGCTGAGATGTCAGTGATTAAACAGACATTTATAAAATAAACACCAGCTTTGTCTTAGTTAAGGTTTCATTGCTATGAAGAGACAATACGACCACAGGAACTCTTATAAGGAAAATTACTTAACTGGGGCTGACTTACAGATCAGAGGTTTAGTCCATTATCAGTGCAAGAAACATGGTGG